TGCAAAGCCTCACAGATGATGTGCAGCAGTGGGTCCCTCAGTCTGTCCTCACTCTGGACACTTGCAGTCGTCACACATGGAAATCAAATGTGTGATAAGCTGCAGGATTCAGACACAAGTGTAACTTATAAACACATGTTCATACTTTTATTCCACAATCAGAGTGGATCCTGCTTGTGCCGTGATGTTCAGGACTGCAAACCGAGCAGCATCACTGACTTTCAGCTTGTTGTGTTTGTGGATATATGACTGACTTTAATTATCCATAAAATCACTACATTCTCTGTAAGATTAAGGTCGACTATATATATATGTAGAAGTAGAATCAGAAGAGAAGGTCAGACTGAAGACAAAGCACAAGCAACACAGGACTACCACTGGACTGTTGCATCAGCTGGAGCTTTGCAAAGTCTTTTCTTTCTAATAATCATTGTAAACATCACATATGAACACAGGGAGACACAACCCTTCGAATCAGACAAACGTACCCTCTGCTGCTTCACGTTTACCTAAACGTTATTTAATCAGCTGTTTCACTCTTTTTATTCAGATTAGTTTTAAACTTCAACTCTTTTATTGGCCGAAACATTAAACTCATCCTGTAGTATTGAAAACAGGAACTGTGTTCTGTCTGATTTTGTCATCTCGCTCAGATTCAGGAGTGGGGTCCGTTTGACCTGGTGATCGGAGGAAGTCCCTGCAACGACCTCTCCATCGTCAATCCTGCCAGGAAGGGCCTGTACGGTGAGTCCCTGAGTGCATTCTGGGTATATTTAACGTGTGTTTTGGTGATTTTCTACTCTTTTAAAGGCACTAAAGCCACACAGCGTGATAGTTTAACTCTTTAAAGGTTGTTTCTGATGCAGCGATAATCTGCCTGCGTATTCCTAGTTCGATTTTAGCGTTCTTGACTGTTGATGGTTTTTGTCTCTCCAGAAGGCACGGGCAGGTTGTTCTTCGAGTTTTATCGACTTCTGAGCGAAGCCAAGCCCAAGGACGGCGAGAACCGCCCATTTTTCTGGATGTTTGAGAACGTGGTCGCCATGGCCATTAACGACAAGAGGGACATCTCGCGGTTCCTGGAGGTCAGTCACATGGGTGGAGAGCAGGCCTGTGCAGTAAATGGAGTTAAAGTTCAGGAAATCTGCTTAAAGTTGCTTCCTCAACATTTCCAACAAGTGTGTTCTGACAGATATGTGTGATTGCTGCAGGTTTCTGGAGGCAGTGTTGTTGAAATGTATTCCACTACAGATTACAGATTACATGCCCCAAAATGTAGTTTGGTCATATTCTGTTAAGTTACCCACTGTGAGTAACGTATTCTGAATACAGGGAGTGCAGAATTATTAGGCAAGTTGTATTTGTGAGGAATAATTTTATTATTGAACAACAACCATGTTCTCAATGAACCCAAAACACTCATTAATATCAAAGCTGAATGTTTGTGGAAGTAGTT